CACTTGTTACTAGAAGCGATGCACTTGTTTCTACTAGCTTCTTGTTACTAGTTGCTGAACATCCATTTCAAATCCATTTCACGTCCTTTACTCCGGCAAGATCTTTGAGTTACTTTTTCGAGTTCAATCACTTGAAGGGGAACTGGAAGGAACGAAGCTTTTGCAGAAAAATGCTGGCCTATTTGCTCACATGGCACGCGCCTCGTTTGCCTGCTTTGGTCCCTTGAAGGGGCTGAGAGGTCGCCACTGAGATCGAACAAGTTCCTCAAGTAGTGCCAGTAGGCTTTAAGATCTATTAGGCTACTAGGAACAAGGACCCTACTAGGAGCAAGAAGCTACTAGGGTCTCCTGGCCTTACTACTACGAACAAGGACGCTAGACCACGGGTTTCATACGATCCGTCTGACACTTCATCTATTTTTGCACGTAGTAGCGTCCTTGCTCCGTTCGTAGCGATGCCCTTTCCTAGTAGCGTCCTTGTTCCTAGTAGTAAGGCCAGGAGTGTCCCTAGTAGCGTCCTTGCTCCTACCCCGGCCCCACGCGGGAAAAGGTCCTAGTAGATTCCTTTGCTACTAATTTTTATTCTAATTAAACTTACTTCTAATTTCTTTTACTTCTATTCTAGTTCTTGTTACTAGTAGCAAGGCCCTTGCTCCGAGTAGTAAGGCCAGGAGCCCCTAGTAGCGTCCTTTCTCGGTCATCTCTCGGCACCTGCCTTTTCAGCCAACGATGTTGGATTTTGCTGGGTAGTTGGTCGCGAAGACTTCCGGTACCCAGGCGCCCGTAGCCCTTGTGCATATCTTCCATCATGCCTTCCAAGTCGAGCTTTGACTTGTCGGAACTGAAAATTCTCGAGCATCAGCTGACACCGGACCTTGTAGATGCACCAGAAGAATCCTTTAGACTCTAGATACTCTTGATGCTTTTTTTGGGGGGTTGCCTGTTCCAGACATCCACCGAGGGAAGGAAAGACACTTCTGGTTCAACAACTCCTCTTTACATTGTCCTGCCATGGGAGACGCAGCAATGGCCTCCAACCTATATACTAGCTAGATGTCCAGGAAGGCTCAAATTTTTTGTACAGACTCTCAGAAGCTTGCACCCCAAATTCGATTCAATAGCTGCGCAGAGCATGATTGGCCGACCGACTTTTTTGAGCTGTGTCATCTCTGCATTGCGATAGTGTCCTTTAGGGAATTCACCAGCTTTAACACAGCTTGTCATGGGATTGGCAAAGTGCACGAAGTGATGTGGTTCTATAAGGTCACACAAGAGTTCCTGTTCGGCCCGAACGAAAAATATAGAGGAACACATAACAAGTTTGGAAAAAAAAGAAGCGGAGGGGGAAAGGCCTACGGGGCAAGAGGTGGTAAGAAGATGCAGTTGCCAAGTAGGTTAAGGAGGCAAGCGTCAGCAGTAAGTAGCATAAGCTACAAGCAAACAAGCGGCCTCTTAGTCATGAGCTTAAGGAGTGGGTTGGTTTCTTTTGATTTAGCCCACTCACCCACTCCTACTTAAGTAGTCCAGTTTCAATGGCCTCCAACCTACCAGCGATGGCCTCCCACCGAATAGCAATGGGCACCTAATCAAGTAAGGGAGGAAGCTCCTAGCTACTAGAAACAAGAAGCTACTAGTAACAAGAACGCTACTAGGAACAAGTGCATCGCTTCTGGTAACAAGAGCCTTACTAGTAGTAACAAGAAGCTAGTAGAAACAAGTGCCACGCTACTAGTAACAGGTGCCTTACTAGTAGTAACAAGGACGCTATCTAGGAACAGGACGCAGCTACCGACAGGACGATAGCTCACGCTTCTTCAACGAAGCCCCCCCCCCTCCCCCTGAAAGCGGGGGGAGGAGCTTCCTTGAAGCGATCGCACTAATGATTTGGTTTCTAGATAGCGTCCTTGTCACGAAAGGTAGCTTGAGCTACCTGAGTTCATTTTTGCTTTAGCAAAAATGTATTACAATCAAGAGTTGGGATTGTGCATTGAATTTGGTCCTGTAAGAGTTGATTCTGTTCGTCGGGGGGGCCCCCCCTCCCTGGATCAAATCCCCCCTGCGCCGGTTCACGCCGTCATGGACTTCTACCAGGGTTACTTGTGATTGCCTGCTACCTTTCGTTCACCCCCTCCTCTCTCAAGTTACTACTAGTAAGGCACTTGTTACTAGAAGCGATGCACTTGTTCCTAGTAGCTTCTTCTTACTAGTAGTAATGGCCTCCATCCTACTATCGACGGCCTCCAACCTAGTAGCTTCTTGTTAGTGATTTGGTTCCTAGATCTATGTACCCCAAGACACTGTTCTTGTAACGAGAGAGCAGAGAGATTTCAACGCTAGAATCAGTAGAAAAACATGCGCAGGCACACCTCTATGTATGACGGCTTTGGGTCAATGCAAAGTGGCCTTCAGAACAGTCAATTTCAATTGTTGTTTTTTTCAGGCTGCCATCTTCGCCAATAACCCGTGCTAAAGTGCAAAGCGCCTGGCTAGTCGGTTCCTGCCAACCCACCATAGAGCACGAAGCAAGCATGCTAGGACCATCCACAAAAATATAATATTTCTGGCTGTGTCAAGCTAATTGCAAGGGACGCTGCTAGCAGCTCCTGGCCTACTAGAAGCTACTAGTAACAAAGGGCATCGCTACTAGGAGCAATGTTGGCTACTAGGAGCACTCCTGGCCTTACTACTAGGAGCATTCTTGCTACCAGGAGCACAGGGCATCGCCACTAGGAACTCCACGGAACGACGACAGTGTTGCTACCGTGGTCTTGCACATCACATCCTTCCCGAACCCAGGTGATTTAAAAAGAACTACTAGCGTCCTCGCTCCTAGTAGCGATGCGGTTCCTAGTAGGGATGCCAGGAGTTACTAGTAGCATTCTTGTTCCTAGTAGCGAGGCCAGGAGCCCCTAGTAGCGAACATTGCTCCTAGTAGAAATTTGTTTATGACGTTTTGGTCACTGCAAACACCTTTTCTTGACGGTCAGCATGTTTGTCTTTGTGGGCTGTTGTTGACAGCCTCGGTGAGTTGAGGGGGTTGCGATAGCCGTTTGACCTTTTGCAGGCCAGGTTGCTTTAGTGTTTTGGATGCTGCAAACGGAGTAGATTCCTCCAACCTACTAGGGATGGCCTCCAACCTAGAAGCGATGGCCTCTACCCTAGTGGCGTCTTTATTGATCGCAGATGAGACCTGCGTAGATTAGATCGAGATTAGATCCGTTCGTTGCAAGTCGAGTTTGAAAAGCGGTCTTTGGCGTCTTCGGGCTGGGTAGCGTCCTTGCTCCTAGTGGCGATGCCCTTTGTTGCTAGTAGCTTGAAGTACGGCCAGGAGCCCCTATATGCCAGGAGCCCCTACCTAGGACCTAGTAGCTTTTTGTTCTCAAGTTTTGGAATATACTAGTCGTTTTTTGTTTTTGAAGGCCTGCCCTTACTTAAATAAGTAGGCACCTACTTAATTAAGGGACAAACTTGTACGCTCCTAGCTGACTAATGATTTCTTTCTTCTTTCCTTCTTTCCTCTTTTCTTGCCTTGACACCTTCCAAGACTCGGTGTTTGGCCCTTGAACATTTCCCCGATGGTGATGTGAACTCTTTGGCAATGTAGTTAGATGGATTCTACCTAAACGCTGCGGACGCTACGTTGTGCCGCAATCATTTGTGCCCCTACGTGTAACGGACGCCGCCGACTTGGTGGAGATTTGCAGCCAGTGACACTAGCTACGAGTGCTCTTTCTCCAACCTACCAGCTAAAATTGACCTTCTTGTTGAGTTAAAGCGATGGACTCCAACCTACGAGCTACGAGGACTTTGTTTCACACTTTAGGCCGGTGTTCCTCCTGAGTGGCAATACCCAAGGCATCAACCAGTTTTCTTGTCTTTGCCGGAAAAGTTCATGGCTCAAGGTCTTTCAGTCAATCCACAAATTTATGTATTTAATTGTTGCAAAATGTTGTTGACATACAGACTCTTAGCAATTCGGTCGAAGAAACGACAGGTTCCCCCCTTTCGGAGAACATGCATATTGAAGCATGTTGAAAGAGATGTGAAGAATTAAACACCAAAAGACCCCAGTCATTTAAATGAGATGAATTCAAAATCAAATGCCATTGCAAGTTGGAAACACAGGTAACAAGAAGCTATTAGAAACAAAGGGCATCGCTACGAACGGAGCGATCGGACGCTACAAGAAGCTACTAGTAACAAAGGGCATTACTACTAGTAGCTTTCTTACTACTAGGAACAAGTGCATCGCTTCTAGTAACAAGTGCCTCGCTACTAGTAACAAGAACGCTTCTAGGGGCTCCTGGCCTTACTACTAGGAGCAAGAAGCTACTAGGAACAAGTGCCACGCTAGTAGTAACAGGTGCCTTACTAGTAGGAACAAGGACGCTACTAGGAGCAAAGTGCATCGCTACGAACGGACTCCGAGGAGGTTTCAGGTCCACACGGCCCACGGCCGTCCGATGAGCGCAGCACGGCCCACAGCGCGTTTCACGTTGCAAGAGGGAGGAGGTGGCTAGGTTTCTTGTTACTAGTAGTAACAAGTGCCCTACTACTAGTAACAAGTGCCTTACTACTAGTAACAAGGAGCTAGTAGAAGCAAGCATTAGAAGCTAGTAGAAACTAGTAGTAAGAATGCTCCTAGTAGCGATGCCAGGAGCCCCTAGTAGCGATGCCCTTGCTCCTAGTAGCTTCTTGTTCCTAGTAGCGTCCTTGTTACTACTAGTAACTAGTAAGGCACTTGTTCCTAGTAGCTGCAGGTAGCTACTACTTCGGATGCAGGATAGCCCGCACCAACCTAACTTCAGCGAAGTAGTAATGGCCTCCACCTAGAAGCTTCTAGTTACTAGAAAGCATCACAGACCTACTAGTAACTTCGTGTTCCTAGTGGCAATGGCCTTTGTTAGCTTCTTCTTACTAGTAGTAACTAGCGTCCTTGTTCATTCCTTTGTCCGTTCCTTTGTTTAAAGCACGCAGACTTTTGCTCCGATGCCGAGGTCATGGAGTCGGATCTGAAGGATAAGAAGGATATGAAAGAGGACCCCAAAAACGTATGTGCAAAACGTTCTTGAAACGTATGTTTTTCTCCGTTCCTTTTTTTGTTTGAACCTGTAGGTCCTTTCTCCTACTATTCGGGGGGTGTTTTTCTTTTGTTTCTTTTCCACAAACGGGCCCGAAGGATTTAAAGGAGAAGAAGACTGCGGCGAGCACGAAGCAGATGATGGCTACAGTGTCTTGGCGTGGGATCGTTCCTCTTCAGCTCTCTTTGGTCACTTGGGAGACTACAGACAACCCAATGGCTGAAAAATGCTGTCAGTGCTCACCCTTCTTGCTTGTGCCTCCTCTGTGAGTGCTACGCAGTCCTGCGCGGTGTCCTCTTTCGTCTTTCCTCTTGCGAATGCTGGCGACTGTTGTCTGCAGCCACAGCCATCTTCAAGGCTGAAGTGCGCCACTTGCCATTTTGGTCCTTGCCGGTAGCACTAGGCTTGGGCAACGAGGTAGCAACCGGAAAGATCAAAAGATCAAAAGGAAGCTACTAGCAATGGCCTCCAACCAAGAGAGATGGCCTCAAACCAGCAATGGCCTCCAACCCAAGAGCGATGGCCTCCAACCTAGACGCGATGGTCTCCAACCTAAGAGCGATGGCATCCAACTTTATAGCGATGGCCTCCAATCTAATGGCTTCTCATTCATTGTCATTCACCAAGTGTTTGCAATTAAGGTCGAAGAAGCCTTCAAGAAATGGGACATCACGGGAGATGGAGACCGAAGATTTGCGTGAAGCTGACTGCCAAAAAATATAAACTACAACTTGCCGATGTTGAGGATTGTAAAACCGTCAAAATAGCGAAAAGACAGCAGGATCTAAAGAAAGGAAGAACAAAAAAGACGAAAGGCCTGAAGAAAAGCAAAAAATGAAGAAAGATACAATCAAAACAAGAAAACCGGAAGAAAGATCCAAACAAAGCAAAGAAACAGAAAGAACATCAAGAACAGTCTTTAAAATAGAAAACAGACTAAAGAAAAACATCATGGTGTACAGAAAGATATATAGAAAGAAAAGAACAAACAAACAGTCTAAATGACGGTCAAGAAAAATCAAAGAAGGAAGAAAGGCCTAAAGAAGAAAAGCAAGAAATAGAAAACAAGGAAGAAAGGTCTTGAAAGAAGCCAAAAGCGAAGACAGGTCGAAAGGACATACGAAAAACAAGAAAGGACGGTCTCAAATTACGTTACTTCGAGTGATCCCCACCATGACATTTCGATCATTTGTCTTGATGCCATAGTGAGGAGCATGTTGCCATAGTCGTTAGTATTGTAGTTCTCGATGTTGCTTGTGGGTCCTCGGGTTGTGCTGTGGTTGTGTGCTGTGTTGTGGTTGTGGTTGTGTTTGTGGTTGTGTGTTTGTAGTTGCGTGTTTGTGATTGCATTTGTGATTGCATTTGTGATTGCATTTGTGATTGTGTTTGTGATTGCATTTGTGATTGCATTTGTGATTGTGTGGTTGTGGTTGTGTGTGTGATTGTGTTTGTGGTTGTGTGGTTGTGGTTGTGTGTGTGTGGTTGTGTGTGTGTGGTTTTGTGTTTGTGGTTATGTGTTTGTGACTGTGTCTTTCTTTGTAGTTGTGTTTGTAGTTGTGTGTTTGTGATTGTGTTTGTGATTGTGGGTTTGTGATTGTGTTTGTCATTGGGTGTTTGTGGTTGCGCGTTTGTGGTCGTGTGTTTGTGATTGTGTGTTTGTGGATTTTATCTGGCAAACTATCTGGTTGAGGTCCAGCGGTGCACACTGCGATCGGATCCTTGCGGTTGAGGTCCAGGGGTGCACACTGCGATCGGATCCTTGCGGTTGAGGTCCAGGGATGCACACTGCGATCCGGAGCTGGACAAGATCCAAAGCAGATTGGCGATGAAGATTGGCGAGGAAGGAAGCAAGGAGGAAGGAGGAAGGAGGAGGACGAGGAGGCGGCGGAGGCGGAGGCGGAGGCGGAGGAAGAACAACTGTGATAAAATCTAACAACCCTCACCTGGCAGGTGGGGAAAAAGAGGTAACATAGTGACACGGCCACCGTCCTCATGTTTCATGCATTTGTTCTCCACGGTCAAGCTTTGCGTTCATCTCTTTTTCACAGATGCCTTCGTCGAGCGGATGCGTGGGTTGCTGAAACCATGCCATGACATGACTGTCGAGAAACATGAAAAATGGGTCTGGCTTCAGTCGCAACAATTGATAGGTCACCTGATAGAACTTGCACTTTAGTGTAGCAATAGACGAGGTGTCCTTCGGTTGGAGGTCATCGCAAGTAGGTTGGAGGCCATCGCTACTAGTAACAAGAAGCCACTAGTAGCCCCCAAAAACAGGAAAAGCAAAGCTGTTGCAGTGTCTCGCCCCGTCCTGTAAGCCAAACCGCAAAGTGTCAACCATACCGAAGGGACAAATGATATTGTTGTTTTTAGAACATTAAGATAAGGGATTTAGTACCTTTTTTGTTGTTTATTCCTTTGTTTTTATTCCACCCGAATGTGCCATCAAAGTCGCCGCAGCCAAACACTCCGCTGATACTGCAGGGGAATAACATACCGACAAACTTCAGAAACACTGCGATTCGTGAAGTATATGAATACAGCAAAAAACTTCATGCGACCTGCTTTCAGTGGTTTACCGTGTTAGTAAGAATGCTCCTAGTAGCGATGCCAGGAGCCCCCAGTAGCGATGCCCTTGCTCGTAGTAGCATCCTTGCTCTTGCTCCTAGTAGTTTCATCTGAAAATGTTTCGAAGAAAGTTGCCCATCCCCAGCACGCATGTTGAAGCTCTTCGGGCTGAAGACCACACCAGTGTTGAACCAGTAATAAGGTTTTTTGAGCCAATGAACCATAAATGGGCGTATTAAGGGGCACAAAGGGCAAGGATAAGTGTAATTGGGGGGCCTGAGAAGGTGCCAACGATGACCTATTGAAGTGCGTAACCATGGTTTACCACCCCGACGAAAAATACGCAGCGCCTCGAACAAAATTCACGCCTGCGCCCCGACAAGTGTCTGTTGTGGACACACCCCCTCTTCTGTAAATATCAATCCCGTAAAAAGATTGCGCCTGACGTGGGGGTACCCCATTCCATAGTATAGATCGTCTGGACCCTCTAAACAAATCAAGGGCAAGCACAGGAAAACTCATGAATTTTGGACAGGCCACAAAAACAAGCAAAAAAACTAGTAGGTTGGAGGCCATGGCTAGCAGGTTGGAGGCCATCGCTCTTAGGTTGGAGGCCATCGCTAGCAGGTTGGAGGCCATTAGGTTCCTTAAAGTCTTTTTGTTCTAGCTAGAACAAGAAGCCACTAGGAGCAAAGGGCATCGCTACTAGGAGCAAGGACGCTACTAGTAGCTCCGGGCCTCACCACTAGTAACAAGAAGCTACTTGATAATTTCCGAAAAAAAGGACTGAGCTTCATCCCTTCACGGCCGCTGATTCACGGCCGCCCTTCACGTACAAACAACTAAGAATGCCCTTGCTCCTAGTAGCAAGGCCAGGAGACCCCCAGTAGCGTCCCTGCGTCTTCTTTTCTTTTACTTTATTTAATTCTAATTCAATTCTAATTTAGGTAGCTTCTTGCTCCTAGTAGCTCTTTGTTACTGCCAGTAAGGCACTTGTTACTAGAAGCGATGCACTTGTTACTAGTAGCGTCCCTGCGTCTTCTCTTTTTTGTGTTCAGGAGCCATTAGCAAATATGAGCTCCACGCTGCCTTAACGCAGCTTGGAATGACCGAAGCGCAGGTGGGGACAGCGCAAAGCGGCGCCAAGCTGTGAAACTTGACATATGAAATGGCCAAAGACTAAAGGAGGCAGCTGGTCTTCTTTTATCCTACTCAGGGGTGTCCTTTCTTCCAACCTACTGGCGATGGCCTCCAACCAGCGGGGGCCTCCAAAATAACGAGATGAACATGCTTTCTCTTCGTGCTCCACTTTACAACATAAGTGTCCTTCTTTTCCTTTTTTCTGCAGTCCTGCATGCAGTGAAAACAGTGTTTGTAGACCAGTCCAGCAAAGAGTGCAGAAGGCCATGTAAATAGCATGTGAACGTGAGAAGTGCCAGGTGGACGCATGCTTCAGATCAGCCGATCTCAGTTCCTTAGACGAAATGGCCCAACTTAAGCCTCCAGCCTAGACTTCTTGTTACTACTAGCGTCCTTGTTACTACTAGTAAGGCCCTTTGCTCCTAGTAGCGATGCACTTGTTACTAGTAGTAAGGCCCTTTGCTCCTAGTAGCGTCCTTGCTAGTAGCGATGCCAGGAGCCCCTAGTAGCGTCCGATCGCTCCTAAGAGCGATGTTTTCCTGCAAAAAATCGAAAAACACTTCGGGCCCTGTGGGCACTCAGGTTTGACATGTTCTGGGTAGACTGTAGACGTTAGTCTCGGTCAAGAAGCGCTCTCAATGCCGGTGCCAGACCCAAACCAAGTAACTTAATAGCTTCATGTTACTACTAGTAAGGCACTTGTTACTAGTAGCACAAGAGCACGTGTCAGGATAGCTCATGCTCGCACTATTTCGGAAAAATGTGCCAACCTTGGTCCGGCTCTTTTAAAGGTGCATGAACTTTTACCGTCCTTCTCTATCTCTTTGACGTCTTCTTTGGTTAAAGGGTGTATATAGTAGCAAGGACGCTATTAGGTGGAGGCCATCGCAAGTAGGTTGGAGGCCATCGCTACTAAGTAAAAAGAAGCTACTAGTAGCTAGAAGCTTCCTTGGGAATCATGTCACCTGTAGCAGCAAGAAGCCAGTAGTAAGCAGAGAGGGAGCGTTATAAAGGAGAAGATGCGATGTCGCGGGGAATCTGTGTGATGTGTTTCAGATTGGGATGTTCAGAATACACCTTGAGATTGGGAAGGTTGTCTTTGACTTCTCAGCTTTGCGTTTGGCAAACATGAAAAAGGCAAGTTGGTTTGTAGTAGGTTTATTTTGTTCGCAAGTAGTAACAAGTGCATTGCTACTAGTAACAAGAAGCTACTAGGAGCAAAGGGCATCGCTACTCCTATAGGTTTGTTTTCAACGCCTGAAGCAGCAAGTGGGGAGTACAGGGGGCACCCAAGAAATGACCAGCCTAGCGTGGAGCAGAGGACGCGGGTTCGAGGGTTCGTTAGACCTTCTCTCTTGGTTTGCTTCGTGTCTTTCTTTTGGTTTGCTAGCTGCTTCCTTACAGGTTTTAAGACAAAGGCGGCCAAGGTTCATGGCACGGGGTGCCAGCGTTCTTGTGAGGCCGGGATGGCATTTTGCAATACGAGGAGTTCTTGGAATGGGTCTTTCGAGATCCTGGTGTTGCGCCCTTGCAAGAAGAAAGCGGCGCCGTATCTCTTGGACACAAGATCCTGGTTAGGATCGGGGTTTGTTCGACCACTCTTCAAAACCAAAGAGAATGTCAATGGGTGTTCCGACTTTGTCTTAAAACACCTGCTTGCCTATCGGAATTTCTTCCTGCTGTTTTCAACACTATATCGGCATATATTCCAAATTGTCCAGGTCCCAGCCTGACTGACAAGGTGAAAGAAACACAAAAACTCATAACACACAGAAGACAATGTTCAATCAACAATTGTTCGTTCAAACACGCCAGCCTCACTTTGTTGATGCACCCTTTCCTCAAACGCAACGTTCACCAAGTGGACACTCCTGAAAGGTCCAGCAATATTGCTTGAAATCAGCGTCGCTTGGCTTGGAACACTGAGGATGGAATGGTCTCCACAGATTTGTGCTTTCTTTTTCTTCTTTAGACTTGTAGTAGCTTCTTGTTCCTAGTAGTAAGGCCAGGAGCCCCTAGTAGCTTCTTGTTCCTAGTACTTTAGACTCTTTAGACTAGACTCTTTCTGTGTTCTTGAATGGTTGTTTAGACGCACCAGTAGGTTCTTTCCTTCCTTTAGACTTTTTAGACCCGCTTGTTTACTTTGGAAAGCCGAAGGTTGCACCAAAAGCCCATGTGACTCAGTGTCCAATGGCCTTCAATGGTTGAGTGCGCCGACCCTTTTGAACGGCAGCAAGTGCAAGATGAATTACTGCTTTTCGGAGTGAATGAATGCAAAAAAGAAAGAGAAAGAAGTACCCTTTTATGTTCCTTTCCATTTTCAGAACAAACTTTCAAGTTTGTTTTCCAATTTTCCAATTTGGCTCTCAGACAAGGAAAGAAGGACTTCATGTGGTGACGGTCGACTCCTGCCAGGAGCTGCTGTCTGGACATTCTGGACATTCCTATTAGAAGCGGCCTCCATCAGAAAATAATATAAACATACCCTTAGAGAAAAAAAGGCTAGTAGAAACAAGTGCATCGCTAGTAGAAACAAGTGCATCGCTACTAGTAACAAGTGCCTTACTAGTAGTAACAAGAAGCTAGTAGAAAAAAAGGCTAAGAAAATGCCTTTAAGGAACCTAATAGCAATGGCCTCTACCCTACAAGCGATGGTCTCCAACCTGGACATTCTGGGAGCTCACTGTTTTTCCAAACAAAGTCAAGACGTCCTAACCAATGCACTTGTTACTAGTAGCGATGCACTTGTTACTAATAGCGTCCTTGTTACTACTAGTAAGGCACTTGTTTCTACTAGCGTGGCACTTGTTGTACTGTAACGGTGGTCAGGCTCCACTTTATCCAAGAGAGAGGCCCAAGAGGCCCTTTGGCAGGATCAAGAGAACTAGCGACCTTACTAGTAGTAAGGCCAGGAGCCCTAGTAGCGACCTTGTTGCTAGAGAACATGCATTGTGAGGGATAAGGAAAACCACGGCACTTGTCCGCTGATTCAGCTGGATGGACCAATTCATCAGCGAGCTGGTAGGAGTTCTGGAAACGCTTTCCCGAGTGTGAGAACCACATCGAGAAGGCCAGGACGAGATCATTTGTGGGGAACTTTTCCACAAGTTGTTGGAAGAACTATTTGTCGCTATTAGGTTGGAGGCGATCGCTCTCAGTAGTTAGGTTGGAGCTACTTCTAATTTCGCACAGTGTGCCAAAGTCCTGTTCCCAGTAGTAAGGCCAGGAGCTACTAATAGCGTCCTTGTTACTACTAGTAAGGCACTTGTTACTAGTAGCGATGCACTTGTTACTAATAGCGTCCTTGTTCCTAGTTAAAAGCAAATCCATCCATCCAACACTCGCTTGATAGTGGTTGACTGCTGCCAGCGCTCCACCAACGTGTAGCGATCCGCAGAGTTCGACGAGAATCCTTCGCCATGCGTTCGGGAACCAGAGAGCATTCTTCGAGGACCGCTTAAGACCTTGTTCGCGTCCGATCGCTCCTAGCATCGATGCCCTTTGTTCCTAGCTTCTTGTTCCTAGTAAGGCCAGGAGCGCCCCAAGCAGCGTTGACATCCATTTGCATGTAAAAAGTGCAGGTGTTCTTTGCTGCCATGGTGATTCTGGGTGAAGACCGAGATCTCAGCTGGACGGGCGTCAAGCAGAAGCTTGGCGAAGTTTACAGACTACGTTTTTTGGCCAAGTCGAAACAAGTGCATCGCTACTAGTAACAAGTGCCTTACTAGTAGTAACAAGAAGCTAGTAGAAACAAGTGCATCGCTAGTAGAAACAAGTGCCTTACTAGTAGTAACAAAAAGCTAGTAGAAACACGTGCATCGCTAGTAGAAACAAGTGCCTTACGAGTAGTAACAAGAAGCTAGTAGAAACAAGTGCATCGCTAGTAGAAAC